ACTATTCCCTTGCCCGACTATACAGATACAACACGTGCAATTCGAAAGTATGGCTGATGATAGTGTCAATTTTGACCAGTTTTCTAACCTCGACACATCTAGGTGAAAAAAGAAAGGTGCATAGACGTGCATATTATATACTTAAAAAACATTTTATCTGCCCAGTGCCATGATTATTTCTTCTGCACGCTGATATACACTGATGCTCATAAGTTAAGCAACACCCCGGTTTTTTCAAAAGTTTCTTCTATCAAGATCATTATTTCATTTGTTGGTGGAATTATGCATATTTCTTTCATATTTTACAAATGACTTATTCACGTTGAATATTTCGGTTAAAGAAATACACCACATAGCTTATTGTAATAATCAACATAACTTTATTAACCAAACGGTACTAAAATATGCCAAACCATGTGTCCAAAAAGTATGCTCACACAGCAAAAAGTACGACCTGATGAAAACAGCTTATTATGAAAAAATAAAGTTCAATCATCTAAGAATTAGTTTTAATAAAAGAAGACTGTAGATAATAGATGATTAATAGTCTATTATGCCTTCCCTGGTTTTGAACAACAGCTTCACTTTGTCTCCTGCAATTTGCCACCAAATTCTGCCAATCTTGCTTTGGGAGCCGGTTCCATTCTTCATTTACTGCCTGCTGGACCTCTATTATGTTTCTACTGGAGGTTGTTTCTCTTTTTTTACTGTACTGTCAATCATATACTTAGAATGTTAGATTACATTGAGAATTGGTAAATATGCAGGCCAATCCAAATGTGGGATACCGTACTGTTGCAGCCTGTCTTGCTTGGACCGTGCTTTCTGGATGGACGCATAGTCCTGCACCAAAATGATTTTTCTTCCTGGATTTGCTTGAATGTGTGATTGTATGCGCCCCAATGGTATTTCGTCTCTGTATTGTTGACCAGGGTTCCTCCCTTGAATGACCTACTACCTGCAGTGGCAATTTTTCATCATATGAGAAACTGCACCATACTATGACGGATACTCCTCCACCCTGAACACGCAGAAGAACACAATCATCCTGAAACGCTTGGTTTGGACGTCTCCAGACGCCTAGCCGACCATCTGCATACATCAAAGTGAATCTGGTCTCCTCAGTCCACAGGACCTTTCGCCCAGTCCTGAGATTCCATCTTTCTCGGTATCTGGCTCATGTCAATCTTATTTGCTTGTGTCTGTTGGTCAACTGTGACTTTTGACGAGGTCTTTTAGATGGAAGTTCAGCTTCTAAAAGATGCCTGTTGACTGTTTTCCTTCTGATATGAGTGTTGCTTAACTTATGATCATCAGTGTATCTTAATGTATCTCATGACACAATGAAATGTTTCCAAACGAAGGTGTCGTTCTTTTCAGACATTTACCTTTTTTCGTACCACGTTTGACACACAATGTAGATCTGTTCCTGTTGCATAGGTTGATAAAACCTAAATAACATATTTTGATAAAGGGTTTTAATTTTTTGCTGTTTTTTTTATATTTAATGGCTTTCGAGTAACGTATGTATCTTATATATGGCGTCGCATGTTGTTAATTGTCTTAAACATAAAATTAAGCAGATTGTAACAGTTGGATGTTTACTGGTATTTTATATTTATGACACAGACCTCTATACAATAAAAGCACTATGCATAACACCAACTCAAAAATGAATTTTCCGGCAATGATATATATGGTAAGAAGCCATAGAGTGGCGTCAGTAACGCATCGATTTGGGAGATAAAAATGATAATCGCTGTCTGAATAACTAAATAATGTGCAAATAACCATATATATGCTGTGTGCACGACCATTTAACCTTGTTATTAACCAACGTTATTGTTACGAATTTCTTACACACTTAAAGAATTTTAGTGGAGCAGAGTGAACACGGTTTGGCTTCTCATTATTGACTGGGTGTCAGGCGCTCAAACAAACCTGAGAGGCTATCTTCAATTTGCCTTTTCATTTCATTTTAAGTCAGGGCAAGTCAGAAAAAAAAACTTATAAAAACTTATTTATAAAAACTGATGAAAAACTGATATAAATGAATAAAAACTGATTTAAACGTGCCGTGTCGCTGAACTGAATGAAATGTCGAGGTGGGAGTTCAAATATATACCTGTAGGGCAAGTCATGCGACACGTGAACACATCTCAATACATACAATACTCTGACTTACTCTAACATATAGCATGTGTTACAGTTACAATAAGCTCACATAAATTTTATTAAGCCAGTTGTCTATCCATAACAAAGCCGCCACAAAACGAGGGGTTTAACTAGTATTTTCTCAAACATAACTTTAAAAGGACAGAACGTAATAGAGTATGTGGGGGTTGATATGGCCCGAAGTGTCGGACCAGTCGGTGTTTGAGGGGCCCATGTTGTTGTGCATTGTTCTTCCAGAAACAGAGCGTTAATGGGGCTATTTACCGTAATATTCTCAACAGACATCTCACTCAATCTGCACAGTGAAAATTCAGGGATACAACATGCTTCATCGTGACAATGCACTTGCTCACAGTTCTCGTATGGTGAGCGATTCGTTGCAGAAACGCAATTATCTATTGATAGAATACACATCTCTGAACCCTATTACTTACCCTACTGAACACCTGAGGGATGTTGTGGAGTGCGTATTGCAGCGAACCTCCCCACAAATAACCTGGACAGATTATGTAAAGCTCTTCAGGATAATTGGGACAATATCCCACGAAACAGACTTGTAACCCAACGCAGCACCGGATTTAGGGGGTGTCAGGGGGATCCTGAACCCCCGCTCGAAATCTGATAAAAACACAACAAAACGAAACAAAACACGTGTTATACAAAGACACTTCGTGCAATCAGAACGTGTGGACTGCTGATGACAACAATTCTCAATGGACTCGGAATTTTTAATTTGACAATGATCGGAAACCAATAATGATGAATAAACATTCGTCCCGTCTCAATGCTAATAGCTGGAAATGCATGGAGATTGTTCCCGTAAATGCGGCTGTTTATGCTACGTGGTTGTGAAATTTGATTACTAGGCTATTATATGGGATAATGTGGCAAATTATCAAGTGAAGTGCATAGTTCATATTGTTTTCGTAAACCCTGAAGTGCGAATGTAACTTTCAAACAAATCAATCCCACACGTTTTCCCGATAAAAAGTAATTGGGCTTCCTAAGTGTCATGCGATTTTCAGCATCATCTGTGTCCACAGTTTCATTTTTCAGACACACCGCTGTTTTTCCTTAGTTACAAAGCCCACCGATAATCCGCACACTAATACAGATGTAAAAAAGAATTATATTTTACTTACGGCCTCTTTACAATGGGCGGCGTCCTTTCATGCGATCAAAAATGTGGTCAGGATACAAAGGCAGTTAAACCGTGTTTCACTGTAGGCGTCTGCGTCCGTTGTGCGTCCTTTGAACGACCGAATCTTGCTTTTACCTGCAAAACTGCCACTGAGAGACCGGTGTCATGTACCAGAAGGTCCCCCATGACAGAAAGTCCGGGACCCGTTATTTCAGAAACCAGGGGTCCTACGGTTTCTAGCCGTCCCAGACATCTAAGCCATTTAAGTTGAAAGAAATTTAGCGAGAAATCCCGTGGAGATGGACCTATCCTTTTAGATCGATCTAGGGATGGGAACCCAGTCTTACCCCCCCCCCTTGTTGCGGTGTTCGGGGCCTCGAAAAATTGGTATTTTTGAGGGCGAACGGTGCCATATTGTACGATTTAGATTTATAATTCAGCTAGTAACTAGAAAAGCACTCCGAGAGCCAAGGTAACAAAGTCTCCACCCAATGCCGTTTCACCCCTAAAATTTTTATTATTGATTGATTATTGATCCGGATCACCACCAAAAACGAATCACTTCTAAGATAACCCATTTCTGACCTACCCTAAAAATTCCATCGAAGTTCATCCATAACTTTTTGAGTTATGTTGGTGACAAACAGACAGACAGACAGACAGAAAGACAGACAAACAGGGGTGAAAACATAACCTCCTTGGCGGAGGAAAAAATTCTAATTTCAAGATGGGACTATTGGTACGATAATTTTTTCAGAATTCGAAGGGGCGACGCTCCACCCCTCCCCCCCTTCCCCCCATCCCAAATCCGCCGCTGCAATCAGCCATGAGAGGACGGCACAGTTATAAACCCTTAGCTGACCTAACCCGGTTTTCCCCTCCTAGTGTGCAGGGCTCGGACGAGTTCGGTCTGGGGCTCCAACCCTAGTACATTTGTCACATTATAGCTTTTCGTGCTCTAATGGTAAAATATAAGTAATTTTGAATTGCCGTTTGTAATATATATAACGGTTGGATTTTCCCCAAGTCAGTATTCACTTTCACTTTTCCATTGAGGCTATTTTATCCATTGGATTTAGCAGCTCGATTGGAGTACCGCTTGGTACCGTTCTTTAACCAAGACAGAAGGCAGATGTTTGTGACAAGACCGCGCAAACTCGGACTTGGTAAACTTGCGTATCATTGTGCATTGTAAGGTGAAAGCTTTATAAAGGGACGCAAAAGGAGGGGGGGGGGCAGGCAGGTTGCTCAGTGGACGCACATGTCGCTCATCGGACGCAAAGTAAGCTCGCAGTTTTACAGGTATTTTACAGGTAAAATCTACATTCAGTCCTTCAAAGGACGCACAAGGGACGCAGACGCGTTTACACTGAAACACAATTTAATTGCTTTGGACACCACTGGGCATCCAGACTACATTTATGATCGTAGAAGGGACGCAGAAAGGATGCAGTCCGGTGTATAGGGGCCTTCAGCTAGTCAACCGAAAAAAAAGACGAGGCTGAACGAATCTCGGTTTGTTTTATGAGTGAAACACTCTATAAACTACACAGTACAATGGGCAATTCACGCTGCATTATCTGACTGGTCGCATTTCAAGCAATAAGCGGGAGACACCATTTCGCGTTACTTCTGACATGGCGGCTTTCTCTAAGATAATATAGAAGACAGGATGAGATAAGAGGACACGCAAGAGAGTGTGAAGACAGATCAGGAGATGGAAAGAAGGTGCAAAGAGATACACGATAAGAAGGAGGGAAGGGATGAGGAGATAGAGGATGAGAAGGAAGGAAGGGGTGAGACCGTGAAGAAACATACAGGAGAGGAGTTGCTGAAGCTGAGTTCTCGGCAGAAATCCTCATTAATGAACGGTGCTCTTGCCAACATCGCTTTATCCGCTTGCTACTCTGTAATGCAACCATTTCTCCGAGATGAGGTAAGTGAGAATTCATTGGCTCTTTTTATAGAAATTGTCTTTTTTTATTGTTTTGTTTGATGTCTGTTGAAATGGAGTCACCTAAGATGTCCTAGACGCAATGTCATACGTGACCAGAAAACGTACAACAACTGCATAAAGTTGGGCTAACCTTGTAGCACAAGGCATGAAATTTGGTGCGCCGTAAAGCCTAGGTCCCAACCGAACGTTCGGGCTGCTTGATTTCTCCCCTGCAATCTAGCTACGTTCTAGCCGGACGCAAGGAACCTAAAATCCGTGCGTCCAAAACGTAGTTGGGACCTAGGCTTAACAGAAAGCAAATCTTTACAAAGAGGAGCCATTGG